TTCACAAAATTGGTCATCAAATAAGGGCACTCTAAATAAATCAAGCTCCCACTCGATGGCGGCAGAGCGTGTGACATTTGGCTCCTCCGAAGCAAATATCGCACCTCAGAAAAAATGTTTGGATGCAAAAAAAAATGAAATTTCTGATGTTGATTTCTTTATTGGGAAGAAGATGAAGGGGAGGGTGGCTGTGGCTTTTGGATTTGGTTTGGGGCGAGGGAGAAGGAGATAATTTTGGTTTTGATTTTTAAAATGGAAAATGTGATCCAACTAAAATGTTTTTGTTATAGTTGGTTAAAATTATCCATTTTTCAATTTTTAAGGTCAATTAATGTATTTTGTCAGATTGAATTTCATGTGCTAATTTTTGAAATGTTTGATATCGTAAATGACACAAATAAAAAGTTTGAATCAAGTCTGAGACAAAGAAAAAGGTTTGGTACCGTTACTGCAATTCTCCCTTTGTGAGAAGAAGAAGATAATTTTGGTTTTGATTTTTAAAATGGAAAATGTGATCCGACTAAAATGTCCTTGTCTTAGTTGGTTAAAAATATCAATTTTCTAATTTTTATGGTCCATTAATGGATTCCATCAGATTGGATTACATGTGCGAATTTTTGAAAGATTTGATACCGTGAATGACACAAATGAAAAGTTTGAATGAAGTATGCGACAAAATAAAAGGTTTGGTATAGTTATTGCAATCCTCCCTTCGTATTTTGGTCCAATTATTGTGTTTCCGGTCATTAAATCCAAAAGAATATATTACATTCGTCTCTTTAGTACAAACTATCCATAACTATCAAAATTTTCTCTCTCAGATTACTAGTTTGGTAAAGTGATGCATAGTGGTGTCAACAAGCCGAACCGAGCCCGAGCCGAAAAAAAAAAGCTCGAACCGAGCCCGAACTTTTTTGGACTGAGCTTTTTTCGACCTGATTCGAGGCAAGCCCGACAAAAAAAAATGAGGCTCGACCCGAGCCTTAGCGGGCCGGGCCAAGCCGGCTCAGGTTTTTTGGATTTTTTTTAAAGGCTGCCTGCTAAAAATAGCTGCCTGCAAAGGCAGCAAGCTGTTTTGAAAAAAATTAATTTTAATTTTTTTTTTAATATTAATGGGCAGGCTCACCCGGGCCACGGGCCGGCCTGGGCTCGAGCGACGTTCCAAAATGGGGCTCAGCCCGAGCCGGGCCCGACTCGGACTTTTTTCGGGTCGAGCCCGAGCTGACGAACTTTTTTGCCATCACTAGTGATGCATAAGAATATATGACAAATACATGAATAATTATAACAATTTTATAAAAAAAAAAAATCATGAAAAGCAAGATTTAGTGTTCTGCATGCAATCTTCCCATCCAAATTAGTAATATTATTCGTTCTAACAAATAATCTATCCAGCAAACATGATGAACAAATCGAAATAAGAAGAAATGGATATAGACATCACCGGGTAATTTAAGAATAAAAAAATTGAAAGAATGTCTTCAATCTTCAATTTCAAAAACCCATATACCTTAAAGCTTGAATTCCCATGATTTTGTTGACTTTTCTCTATTATTTCTCTCGAAAGATGAGTTTTGATATGTTTTCTTCCCCTTTTTTTCTTATTTTTTGACCTAGTTTTGCTCTTTATGTAGTCCTCAATGTTCTTTAAAGTTCGTGCCAAGAATTACCTAAAGTGTCCTCGGAATTTAACTTAAATTGGGAGTCTTTATGCCAAGGGACAAAATTCCACATCAAATAAAGATGATAATATAGACCAATTTATAAAAGTTTGTGCTACTTTTTTTAGTAAAGTTGAACTTCTAAAATAGAATCTCAAATCTTAACATAGTATCAGAGCTATCAAGGAAGAAACAAAAGATGCTCAAACGAGCCACCATCTTGTAGGGGCATGTTAAGAGATAAAATTTCATATCGAATAAAAATGAGAACATAGACCAATTTATAAGAGTTTGAGCTACTCTTCTTAATAAGATTGATATTTTAAGATGGAATCTCAAATTTTAACACTTCATTCCGACTGAACAACAGTTGCGGCCACAACATGCATCGCTACGGGCAAAGCTGCGACAAATAGGTCCTTATTTGGGACAAAATTACTTCGTTGCGATCACGGCCAAGTATATTGCGATATGTACCCTTTTAGTCATTCGGCTTACGGTTTTTATGCAGGTTTGGTCCTTGAGCTTCAAACTCGCTTAACACAATTTTCAATTATCGACCAACTAATTAAAAAAGTGAGTAGGATAAGGGTTGCGTGATATATGTACGTAGAGGCATTGTAGTCTCAAGCTTCAAACACGGATATATTCTAACAGGGACTATGCACTTTCCTCACAAGCAACATAATTCGTTAATCTCTATATAAAGAAGCATTGAGATGTACACATTGATTCATTGAGAAAGTTCATATACTACTAAAGCCTTGAGAAACATGCTCTTAATCTAACTGCAATACGACTAGTTGACCAATTACTAAAAATTGACTTTTAGGACATGTTTGGTAGATATGATGGATACCATTGGATATAATTAAAGAAGAAAAAAGAAGTTAAAATTTTATTTGATATCATGTGAATATTTAAAACTAATAACACCTTCATGATATAGAGAGGTAATTTTGCTTTGGAAAAGTTGGCCAAAGAAGCATATTCATTGTTGTTAATCTATGCATAACCAGTATTAGTGTTGACACAATAAAAGTGTAGCCCAAATTAAATAGCCCAAAGAGTGAAGCCCAATTGGGGAGTCCAGGATAAAGACCCAAATAAGATTATTGATAAATGCAGTGGAAGTCCATGAACACATTAACATCATCGCCCAATCTTGCTTGACGCCCAAAATCTGAGCAAATGGAGTGTCTTACGATCTCCCAGAGGGATGACCTTGTTCTCGCCCAAACCTTCGAATCGCCCAGGATCTTAGCAAACATAAGATATTATGGTTATCCAGAATAGTAGTTATTGAAGCAGTTATAGAGCAATCTTATCACATTCCACAATTCAAGGAGCCCAGCTGAAGGCGGTTGAACGACAAAGAGTAATGACAGCAGTTAGAGACGGTAGTTCCACGACAAGTCAGGCACCATGAAGAAAGTTGGTAGTTATAGAGCAATCAAGCAGTTTTCAAGCGGTTTGTCACGAAGAAATCATCAAAGGAATATAAAAAGGAAGAGAATGTATAGAGAAAAAGAACCTGAATCAAACACTCTCAAACAGACAATATATAACTTCACTTTCTTAGATTAACTTTAATTATCCATTTTCAGTACTCGTGTGCTTGCATCCCTTGGAGGCATTTTGTTTATTTCCAATTGTAACTCTCATCAATAAAGCACCTCTTTTTGGGACTTTGTCTAAAGAGGTTTGTCCCTTGGCACGTCCAGTGGGACATTGGTGTTTAGTGTTGAAGATACAAAAGAGTGAAGCATTATGCCTCATAAACATTTTGATAAGGAACTAGCAATTCAGGGAGTAATCCAGTCTGTAATAGAGCAATATGAGGAGCAACAAAGCTCTCCACGAACAGAGGGACGAGTCAGAGTAGTCACGGTCGTTAGAACCAATGACTGAATTGAGTCCTCGAACCATGCGTGCATTGCTTAGAGAACTCACACAGGATGTCGTTGAACAGGTAAATCTACGAAATATTCATAATATGGAAAGATTTACCTAAAGTGGGAATGCACATTATGACAATATGACCAAACAACTAAATACATTAAATGAAATAATGAACAAGTTAGCGGTCAAATGTGTCAGTCAGTTATGTCTATTGCAAACCACTTTCAAATCAGGACAATTGTAGGGCATAATTCT